CAACTTAATAAACTCTGATTGTCCGTTCAAGATTTCGAAGTAATTATCCATCTCCTCTTGTGTAGAGCAGATGATAAAACAATCGTCTATATAGCGACAGTAGAGTATTGGACGCCGATGGAGAAGTGGAGCTTCTACTTTTGACATAAAAGCGATGGCTAAGCTGGGTGCTAATCTTTGCCCCATTGCCAACCCTCTAATTTGAGCGAAATATTTTCCCGACCACCTAAATATCGAACAGCTTAAACATGACTTAAGGAGTGTGACAAGCTGTTGAACCGACAAGCCAAACATATCTACGTTTTGTATGTTTTCTATCAGCAATTCATGAGTGGCTTGTATTGCGACGTCATTTGAGACGTTTGTATAGAGCGCTGTAACATCAAACGACTCCATTACATACGTATGATTTGGACGCGCATTTCTAAGGTGCTCTAGGAACATATTGGTGTTGGGGAGGTGGGTTGGTATGAACTTCAGTAATTGCGACAAAATGAGGCCTAGAAACCATGTTATCCTATCCGTCGGCCCGCCTACACAGCTAATGATTGGTCTAACTTTAAACTTAGAAGGATCGGTGGACACAAAATCATTAATAGAAATTTTATGTGTTTTAATGAGTGTGTATAGGACGGGGCAAGTTGGTGATTCAATTTTTAGTTGACGGATAAGAGATTGTTGTAAACCCGCAGCTTTCGCCGTCCGGACCCATTCTTCGTTCAATTTTCGGTATTGTGATTTATATTCCTTTTCAGAGGAAGGTCGATAGAGAGAAGCATCTTGGAGATGTTTCTCTGTTATATCAACATCCAACTGACGAGGAATAACTAAGAATTCCCCACCCTTATAGCTAATTGATAACCGGATGTTTTTTGAGTTTATCAGCTCTCAGACTTCTTTTATACCATGTTTTTTTTTTTGGTTAGGTTGGAGCTGAATTTGTTTTGCCGGTAGCGATTTAGTACATGAAATAGTTCGTCTGAAAAAGTACGGAAACTTGAGTCAATTTCGCTATCAGGTTGTTGCTGTTTGAAGAACGTTCGTGGGAAAGGAGGTGGTGGTAATGTTGCCTCTCTACGTTGTGCTAGACCTAACCTTTCTTGTTTCGCTTTATAACGGAGTTGATCTAGGACTTCGTGCAAATTACATGCGATAGTACGCAGCGATGTTTTGGAAAGGGGTTGAGCAGGGGAGAAGCTTGGCCCCAATTCTAATAGTGATTGTGCACTATCCGTGAGGGTTATGCCTCCTAATATGGTAACTCTGGAGGGCTTTGGCGCGTCTTTTACCTCAGATTTTCCTTCGAACTTGCCAGAACCGGGGTTTCTTTTACTTTTTCTTTTTGAGTCTAAATTAAATTTGGTTTTCGCTCTCGCAGTAGATTTTCAAATTTTCTCCGCAACCTATGCTTTATGTCATATCGGATTTCATCACAAATAGACATAGATTCATCTACTATTCTTTTCCAAAGATTCTTATCCAAATACTGAATGCAACGATGTTCTTTATAGACGCACTTCTCCAGAAGTGAGAACAGTTGGTTTTGTGTATTCTGTAGACAAATGCGTAATAAACGCATGTGAATGTTCAGTATTTGGTGCGAATCATTTGGTAAGCCACACTTTTCATTTAATTTCCTATGTTTTATAAAATCAGGAATGACTTTCTTTTTTATGCAGCGGCTGAGAAAGTCGGTCTTTCGAGTTGTTACAAAATCTCTCAAGGATTATCCGACTGCGAACTAAAAGTCACATCACAAAAGCTTCTTGAAGACATCATAGATTGAGGAAAATGTATTATCAAATTAAAATGTGAGCTATTTTTTTACTAAAAACGAATTTTAAACAAGTCCTTCAGTAACCTATCAGTCTTCCTGGTCATGAATTCTCTGCAACGGGCGGATTTGACTATACAAGGACCGATACACCCACTGCATAGTTCAAGCGAAGGACTAATTACTGAGAGTGTAAAACGCGATCTCAAATCCCTTACTACAGTACACTATAATACTAGTTCAAAAAACCAAATCAGTTTTTGGAATTCCCACTTTTTGAGCTATCGATTAATTGTCAAAACTCTGCTGTAAAGCCAATGATGAACGCGACGCACTTTGAAATCTGAACGTTAATTCTGTACGTCGTTACTACAGCGAAGGAAGCACTTTGATTGGAAATCGATCCAAGATTGAAGCTTATATTTATAATCGCCATTTCACAAACTATTTAACGTTTACTAAAACTTTAGTGAAAAGCCTTTGTTCGGTGAAGAAGCGGAGCAAGCACCAGGGCAAATCGCACCATACACTCTGAAGAAAGGAAAACGTAAATTTCTCCTCGTATCTATAGCTCACCAGAAAAGCATTAGCAAAAACCAAGCATACCATCAGAACCGTAACTTTTATTTTTTTCAGTTATCGAAAGCCCTTTAAAAGTCCAGTGAAAAATCTGTGTTCAATGGGAAAATCACGAAATTGAGCGTGTATCATGGTTACACGTGGTCCTGGAAGGGTTCAATAGGGAAATGGTATGTCAACATGTGCGTCAAAGAGAGATTAGAAGTAAAGAAGCTGTTGCATATTGATAGAAAGATAAAGTATGGAGCTGTGAAAGTTGGTCAATCGTTGAGGGATGCGCCATTCATTCGACTTCATCTACCATCGATAGAGGCACTCAAATAAATATTTGGCCTAATGACGAGGTCTTAGTGATGTACCAAGTCTGTGCTGCAGCCCTCCCGGACAAGTTTGATATCATTCTACAACCTCGAAATTAAAGCGCATTGTGATTTCTCCATACACGCTATGGAAATAACTTCATTTAATGAGGGGAAGCAGGTTATATTCGCCACTTTTTTCTCTGATTTTTTAATATATTAGTTTGATCGTCTGGTGACATCATAACATGTTTTGAGCCTTTTATGAGCTCTGGTACAGCACTTATACAGTGCTAGTTAGCTGCTGCTTCGCCCTTGCAGGCTCCGCAGTAGCATGGTGCCTTTCGGTTCAACCGATTTTTTGCAGGGGAATATCATCGACGCTGAATTATTAAATTACCGGATGTTGAGTGACAAAAGCCCGCGACATTGCAGTGATTTATTCTATCAGAGATATGCACTCGACTGTGGACACTGCAATGCCGAGGGATTTTGTCACCTGACTTGTGGTAAGCCATTATTCGGCACTTATTCCTTTGTATAGGGGTATATCCCCAAGTCGACTGAACTGAGGGAGACTGTGTTACTAAGAGCACTCCTAGAGGGAGAAACAGGCGACAGTCCAGCATTGTATAGGTGGCTATACTAGGCCTCATTACAGGCCCACACATGCTATCATGTTATCAAACTACTGTTTTGAGCGAGATCTATATAAACAGTTGGGAGTGAGGTTTATGACAGCAATTGTTCAGTATTAACAGTTGTTTTTCATTGGGCAACAACTGTGCAGAAGTCAGCATGTTCATTGGCTGTTAAATAGTAGAAGGTCGGTTATCAATCTGTCATTAACATTTATACACATCGATAAATACACCGATTCATCCAGGATGTGTTGTTTGAGGAAATTAATATGACATTTAACATTCACTATTACTGACAACCATTTTGTACAGAAAGATCACTGTCTGGTAAGGTTCTCACTGAATAAGTTTTCTTTTGTAGAAGACGTGACTCGAACGACAACGAAGGCTACAACGAAGACATGCGAGCGTGGAGCTCCCGTTCAAATTGATCTGCTCAAAAAAGAAGACGAAACGCTTCGAAATGATAATCGATTAAATTCGTTGAATCAAGAATTTTGCTCACTGATAGACAACAGCGCAGAATAATGAAGACACATCCATAGGGGCGAATCTCCGACGTCCAGCAATATTTTCTACGTCCGGTATTCTTTTTCATTATTGAAACTAAAGATGTGATATTTTTTACGTTGACTGCAAAGGTTTGTACATAACTTCGGAGTCAAACTCGTCGGCTTTCGGATCATTACTGTATTTGGACTGGTCAAAAGTCCACTTCCTGACAATCCAAACACACCTGCAGGGTGTGGCTTAGGCGAATGATAGTATATGTGAAAAAACGATTCGAATGCATTCTCGTTAGAATTTAATGTCCATGTGTGGACAGTGAAAATGATCGAATCCTCTGCAGATCCACTTTGCTTCGACAATATGAGTTAAATCATAGTTTGTATGCTGATCAAATGAATAGGCCACGAATGAATTTTGTGATCGGAAACGTCACCACCGTCGACTCCTCTATTATAGTGTGCTTCGAATATCGTCTGCGGCGTCATAAACGAGATGAAATGTGTAGTGTCTTCTCGTTTCAGCCAAGCCGATGGCGTGAACGCTTATTTTTCTTGATAGAGAATTTGCATGCAGGTGCACTTGCATTGTACATGTAGATCGTTCTCGCGCTATACTACTATTTTGGCAACCAGAATAGCCCTGAAATGTTAGCAGTTTCTCAGTACTCGTTATCTAAAAAAATTTCCTATTTCAGGTTTCTTCATGGTGAGATAAATCTGGTTCAAGTCTTCTACTGCTTAGCTTTTTATGCCAGTGTATAGCTTGTTAATCGTTCAACGAAAACGCGGGGCGGTCACGGCTAACGGAGCCATGACTGGGAGGACAGGGAGGAGTTCAGTCATCGAAGGCTACTCTCAACCAAACCTCATGTGCTTTGCTTTGATGAGCGAGATTAAGGTATGTGCGGGTTGAATGCAAACAAAGATATCATCTCATAAATCATGTTATCGCGTCTAAATAAACTGCGCCTCCCTTTTCATACAATGTAGAGTGGCTATTCGGGAGCGTGGCATTGACTAGGCGAGCGAAATCGTCGAAATGTACCTATGCCACTAGCGTGGCGAAACCTCGAGCACCGCTAGGTCGGCCTTTCTGAACAGACGATTATCTAAGAGTCAGATAAATGTGATCATTAGAATTTTTTCACCTGAATATGTTACGTTTTTTTCAATAATGCTGAGAGATGTGTAAAACATTTGCGTCAGACGGGATTTGAACCCGCCTTCCACTCTTCCTGCGAATACGTGCTAACCAACTGCACTACCGACGTCTGTCGTGCCACCACTATTTCTACGCTGCGACATAACAATATGTCAGCTATTCAAGCCGTTGCCGAGTAAAGACGGTGGTGGCAAAACAGGCGTCGCAATTGCAGTAAGTTAACACGAGTCCCGGAAGAGATGAAATATGGGTTGAACTCCCGTCCGACGTCAACGTTTTGCACATTACTCAACGTTATTGAGCAAAGCAGTCAGATAATTGGTGTCAACAGCAGAGAACGAAGTTTTAGAAGTATATATGATAAAGTAAAATGGGGTTCGAGGTAGTGATTTCTTGATAATGACCCATGTAAATATAAGTGAGTGCCTTCAAACGCTCGTAGCTTCCAAATTTCAGCACGCAGACATGTTCACCATGTTTCTAAAGCGGCTAAAGTTGAAGACTCCGACAGATGACCCTGTTGACACATCGGCAGTGATTTGAGTGGGACCAATGCTGCTTATAAGCCACTATCAACTCATTTCTCAGTGCTTTTTAACTATGGCAATTGATGGCCGGCGGCCTTCTTATGAACTTCAAAGTCAACTTATCGCATCAAATCACTGAAGACGAAGAGCATAAAAGCTCTGGATTATTCGCAATCTGTCTTATCACTCCGAAGCTTTCACGGTCATTTTTTTGCTGAGATCTCTACGTCAATCACATTGGTGCAGTGTTCTCGCTCAATGCTTTCATTCTTTGTTTTCTTTATCTGCTATCCCTACTAGATCACTTTAGCCAACTATTAATGTTCTTATTTATTTCCAAACCAATAACTTTTTTTAATCTTCTTCTAGAACATAAGAGATTTATTTATCACAGAAATAATATAACCTAGATGCATTAATGTCTAGGCTGTCTGTAGTTACGAATTTTCATTTATTACGTACCATTTCTACAACAACAGCTTGCTCTGTTTCATTCTTGACTCAACTCTTTGTACTTGTTCAGTCCTACTTTTGACTTTGAATTCGTTTCTTAATTTTTTATTCAGTGTCGTAAAATAATGACTGAGTACGTCTCTTTGCAATCTGTACGATAACGTGGCTATAGTGTTCCATGGGTATCGTAATGACCATCGGTTACTCGGCAGTCTGGTCATTGTCATTGCTTTGCTATCACCTAAGCACCTGAATATGTGGCAAAATTCTTTCCATCTCGTGTACCATGATAGGAAAAGAGCAATGGAGAAAATACCAATAGCGAGAAATTTCTACCACATACAGAAAACTCTCAGACTTCTACTGACTATTTATCACCTCCACTGCAGCATGAGATTACCTCAGTGGCATCACTTCGATTTCGGTGGGGACATAGTTGCCATCGACTGATATTACAGGCATGCCTCAGATCACTGTGTGCCTCTAGCACTCGATATCTACATGTACAGGCAGTATTGGCCAGATTACCATCTTGGACTGCCCAATAGGAGAATGACGAGATAGATGAACCCTCATTACAAAACAGTACTTGTATGGACTGCAACGCCATCAGTTGTGAAGTCATTTATTTTCCGGTCTTATACTCCACTGAGACTCGACTGGTTCTAGTTGATTGAACGCTTCGTAATGAGTAGCAACATCAACCATTGAAGGAACCAATACTGCCGTGAACTATTCCTTAAGGTTCTAGCCTTTGTTTTAGCAATTTTTCAAAAATCGCGACTCTTTCTTAAGTGGGGTATCAGGAGAGTACTCATCTTGGACACTGTGGCTTAATCTGAGGTTTATCAGTTTAGGCTCGCTCCACTGGTATTTTACGACATTCAAAAACAAGACGAAAAAGCGAATTGATAGTTAGAATTAGTGGGATCTGCAC